TTCCCAAAGTTTTGTCCCCAGCCTAGGTCTCTTTCCCAAATTCCAGACCCATATCTCTAACTACCTACTTGACATATCCACTAACATGTCTGGTCGATAACACAAACTCAACTTGTTCAATTGCTCCATCACCCTCAAGTCTCCTCTACCTACAGCTTCCTCATCTATATTGGTGGCAAGTCTATCTTTCCAGTGGCTCAGGCCCAAAGCCATGGAGTCACCCTTCATTCATCTCTTTCTCTCACATGTCTTATCTTATCTGTCAGGCAATCCTGATGGCTCTATCTTGAAAATATATCAGAATCAACCACTTTTCATCTGTTCAACTGCTTCTCGGCCAGAGTCACCATTGTCTTTCACCCAAGGTACTGCAATGGTCTCTTAACTAATGTCTCTGCTTTCTCCCTGTGCTCTATTCTCAACACAGTAGCCAGATTGAGTCTTTCATTAAAAGGTCAGGTCAGGTCATTTGTTTCTTAAAACTCTGCAGAAACTTTCCATTTCATTCAGCATCAGGGCCAAAGTCTTCATGATGTTCAGGTCTCCTTTATTTCTACAATCTCATCTCCTATTATCTTTGCCCCTTGCAACTTCACTCCTACTGCCACCCTGACTTCTTTCCTTCTCCTCGCACATGGCAAGTGTATTACTCCCCTGATCTCAAACATTCTTCTAGATATCTACTTGGGCAGCTTAAACTTCACTTTCTGATTTAAGGACCATCCTTTCTAACTTACTTAATACTGGAACCTCCTTCACTTTATACCCCCAGAATACACCATCTCCCTTCCTTGCTCTATCTTTTCTTTTTCCATATGGCAAACTGTATTTCCTAAAGGTATATTGTCCAGTGTCTCCTGTTCCACATGTTCTTCTAGAACCTTTTAACTGCCCCTCCCCCCACACACACACACATTTACACTCAAGAGATGGAGAATAATTACCTTCTCCAAGAATCTGGGCAGCGTTTACCTGCTTCTCACTAGTAGAATATGGTGGGAGTAATGCTGTGATTTCTGAGGCTAGGTCCCAAAATGTGTTGCAGTTTCCACCTTGTTAGTTGGGATGATCACCTTTGGAGCTCTGAGCCAGCATGTTAAACCTCTAATTTTCCTGAGGCCACCATGCTATGAAGATGCCCAGGCCATCAGGACAGGCTACCTGTAGATGTTGTAGCTGACAAATCCAGCTGAGATCCAGCTAAGAGCTGACATCAGTCACTAGCCATGTGAGTGAAGATGCCATAAGATGATTTCAGTCTTCCCAACAAGACCCCAGACATTGGAGCAGAGACAAACTGTCCCTGTTGTTCTCTAAATTCTGACCCACAGAATTCATGTTGTTGTTGTCGTTGTTATGTGCCATCAAGTCAGACCCAACTCATAGCGACCCCTCCTTGGGTTTCCGAGGCAGTATCACTATAGAAGTAGATTGCCCAACCTTCCTTCCAAGGAGTGGCTGGTGGATTTGAACTGTCAGCCTTCTGGTTAGCAGTCAAGTGCCTTAGGCACTACACTACCAGAGCTCCCACAGAATTTGTGAGCACAATAAATTGGTTGTTTTATGTCACTAAGATGTGAGGTTCTTTGTTACACAGTGTTTTAGATTGAATTGTATTCCCCAAAAATAAGTGTTGTAAATCCTACTATACCTGTGGTTATGATTCCATTTGGGAATATGGCTTTGTTATGTTAATGAGGAAGTGTTAGTATAGGATGTGTTTATGTCAATCTCCTTTGAGATATAAAAGAGCAAATTAAATAAGCAGCAAAGAACACAGGTGGGAGAAATAGATGCCACTCCCCATAAGATCTCCAAGGGATCAAGAAACAGAAGCTGAAAAGAGACAAGGACCTTCCCATGAAACCAACAGAGACAGAAAGCCTTCCCCTAGAGCCAGCACCCTGAATTTATACTTCTAGTCTCCTAAATTGTGAGCAAATAAGTTTCTAATTGTTAAAGCTATTTACTTGGGATATTTCTGTTGTAGTAGCACAAATAACGAAGATACATAACAAGCAGTATTTTTTTTTTTTTTTTTACTATCAAACATACTGCCTTATATGATTTACTTATTTTTAAGTTTCTTGTTTATTTCTCACCTCCCTTGCTAGATTATAAGCTTCTTGAGGGCTGGAATTCTTGTTTCATTCACTACTGTACCCCAAATGTCTAGAACAGACCTTGGCAATAGTAAATACTCAGTAAATATTTACGGAACAAATGAGTAAGTGCAGAAGTGAATTAAATTTAGAAGGCACAGTTTGCTATTGCTGAGAGGTATCTTAAATGCTAACTTGTCAAACCCACTCTTTTAAATGAAAAAAACAGAGCAGGATAGAAGTATGACAAACAATAAAAAGAGCACTGTATATAGGTGTGAGAAGAGGACTGGAGGCCCAGGAGTCTTAGCTGCACAGCAGGACACAGAGTCTTCAAGGAGATCTGTGACTCTTACCCTCAGGATGAAGATTCTGGAAATCACAGGGGATTTGATGAGCAAGGCAATATCCAGCTATCTTCTATGGAAGGGTATTATCACATTGTGGAAAGACTTTCATTAAGCAGTGTTTTCCAATTAACTCTCAGTTAATCAGAAAATGTTGTTAACTATAAGCTTAGCATTCCAGCCAACTGATTAATATAATTTGAGCTAATTGAGGGCAAGGCTAGCCTGAGTTAGAGAGAATTCTGATGGAGTTCAGATCACAGACTAACATGTTATTTTCTCTCTTGTTACAAAAGCAGTTCATTTCCATGCTAGAAAGTTTGGAAAATACAAAAAAGTACAAAGAAGAAATACAAAATCGACCCACATCCCACTGCACGGGGAGAGACATTTTCAAAAGTGATGTCATTTCAAACAGACTGGAAGGAAATGCACCAAAATAGTCAAATACATCTGTATTTTCACTTTCTAATTTTAGATTGCAAGTCCTTAGAATAGAGCTTCTCAGCCTTTGAACACTTGTCTCCCTTTCTGATAAGTCACATAGTTCCCTCAATATTATTTGAAATTTTAAAACAAATATCATGACTAAAAACTTACTAAACCACCATAATACTGAATATGCCTTTCTTTCTAAACAATACATACTCTCTTGATAACCCCTCACCAGAAAGACCTGCATGTGTGTGAAAAGGAGAGCATGCACGCTCACACACATGTGCGTGTGTATGCGACCACAGTGGACAGTCGTTACTTTAAATGGTTGGAACCGTTCAACCCCTGGATTTTACTTATGGAGGAAATAAGACCCAGAGATGGGAGGTGATGAGATCATAGCTAGCATCCTGTGATCACCTTCAACCCTCATTGCAGCATCCTTCCAAGATTTGCACACTGAGTCTATGAAAAATGCTTTTACTTAGGCCATATTTGAAATTAACTGCTGGTTTTCCTGAGCTAGTAATTACTCACAGGCATTGCCATAAACTTTTTCTTCTCATAAATGTGCCAAGCATGCCCCTTGCCGCCATGTTTTACACTACTATAAAGTTTTAGGATCAGACAGCCCCTTAGCAATTACCTTATACAAATTCTTCATTCAACTAATGCATTTTAAAACTCAGATAGGAAAATGCTACGCTAAGGTCATACAGTTTACTGTATTGCTATCCAGCTGTGTGGATCACCAGGTTAACACAATTTTCATGACCTCACAAGACTTCTAAAATATTTTTTGGTAAGCTCTTTCTCAGAGCATAGTAGTCTGAGAGCTAAACTTAGTCTGCATTATCAAGATTTCCAAATGTGTGACATCTGAGTCAATGAGTTGTCACTATACCTAGTAAAAGTGAACCTAGTGTATAGTTGAGCACACACTAAAGTGGGAAAACAAAACAAAAACAAGAAGCTAGTGTGTGTGACTCAGAGCCTGGCTCAAAGTAGATGCTCCAAAGATATTGTGGGAAGGAAGGAGGGAAGGGAGAGACAGGAGAGTGAAAAGTGAAGAAAGAAATGTTTGTTGGAACAGCTGGCTGCAGCTGGCTGCAGATCTGCCCAGGAAGGAGGCAGAATACCTCCTGGGAAGTGAGCTGCTCTTTGGTTGAGGAAAACATCTTAATGAGTTTTTCCTTCTGTTGTATTTTACTTTTTGTTTGTACAAAGGTGAGGCCTAATGGGCAAAGTCTGAAGCAAAGGCATGAACAAAGAAAGCTAAATTGTTTGGTGCAGTAAATTCAGAGGACTTTGAGAGTCCTTTTCCTGGCTGTTGGAAAAGGAGGAAGTTTTGAGGATACAGAGAAGAATTTTGGGGAGGGAAGTGGAGAGAGCTGCCAAGAAGATAAAACCATAAGAGAACTTTCCAGCGGTGTGAATGATTAAGGAACTTGTAAGAACAACAGTGCTGTATTAAGGCATTTCCTGTACTTTGCTGCAATCTTTCTCTGTTAATCCCAAATCTCAGGAAGAATCATTACCCACAAATCATTTTTGGGGAAAAAAGAAAGGGATGTCCAGTGCCAGAGTGAGGAGAAGATACAGAGAGAGAGGATAGCATTCATTGAAGATGAGATATTGAGTTGGAGGATAGAGGACCTAACAGAAACATGAATATGGGGTAGGAGGGGACCAGGGGAAAGCAGGCCTCCTAGAAATCATTGGTAGAAGAGATTTAGTGGGTTTGCTACAGTATGAGAGCCATTCTATCTTGACCTTGATATTGAAAGGAGGTGTGACTCCACATGGATAGAAATTTTTTTTGGGGGAGGTAACTTGGTTATACAAGAAAAAGAGAAAGAGGAGGAGGAAGGAAAAAAGAAAGAATCAATAATTTATCATGGTGCTTCTCAAAGACAATGTGCTTACAAATCACCTAAAATTCTTGGTGAAATGCATGTTCTGATTTGGTAGATCTGGGATGGGCCCTAACAGGCTGCATTTCCAACAAGTTCCCAGGTGATGCTGATGTGTCTGGGGACCACATTTTGAATAGCAAGGGTTTAGCACTCAAGCCTCTGAACCCATTAGGAAGTTTTCCCACTGGCTGATCTCTTACCTCATATTCTTCCTTGAACCCATAGCCCTGGCCTCTCTTCATCTGGGTGATGTGCTGCAGCAGGTCGGCCACCCGGATGGCGGGCTGGAACTGGTCCCGGGGGTAGCTCATCTCCACGGGGTCGCATGTCCGGTAGGGGTGAGTCTGGATGGTGAGGGTGGGCTGGGACAGTTCCCCACGGCTGCCATCTGCTTCAAAAAGAAGGAGGTGGAACATACCATCACCTGTGGGCTTTCTTCTTTGCCTTTCCCAGCTTGGCCTGAGAAGGGTGGAGGGAACTAACTTGGAACTCAACTGATTCAGGAAACCATGAGGCTAGAGACACAGGCTGTGCTGGTAGGTTTTAAAATGAAAACAAACCAATGAACAAAATAACTCTTCATTCATTTCTATTTCAAGGATGCATACTGATGGAACAAAGGCAAAGTTCCAGGTGGACTGTCACCTTCTGCCTGTCTTAGTCCTTCCTCCAGGCTTGTCATGATGATCTTGGACAGTCTAGCCTATCTCAGAACCAATAAGAAGCAGATAGGCTAGATACTGGGAAAGCTCTCCTGTCTAGGAAGTAGGGTGCCTAGAACAGTCTCTTCTGCTTGTTGGCCTGCAGGTGAGAAGAGTCTCAGGTCCCTGGAGATGAGAGCCATGTATCTGCTTCTGGTCCATTTCCCTATATCTCTGTGACCTCTTTTTTGTACTTGTTCTGGTGGCACAGTGTCTAAGGAATTTGACTGCTAACCAGAAGGGTGGTGGTTAAAACCCACCAGCCACTCCTCGGAAGGAAGACTGGGCAATCCACTTCCAGCCTTGTACCTCCAGATAGCAGGTAACAGGGACTCTGACTCTCCTAGCTGCTTTCTCCATTTATGGACTCTCCACAGAGGCAGATTACCCAATAAGCAAGGTAAACACAGCCCTACTCTGCTTATTTATTAAGCAGTAGTAAACAATTTTACATGGACTTCACCATATTGGAGATATGGTGAGGGAAAAAAAAAAGTGAAACTTTCACTACAAGTTAGTAAGTAATCACAAGTAAGCCTGTGCTTACTTGGCTTACTGGGTACTCTGTCCCTGTCAGGAACTGTATATTTGAAGAGGCTTTGATTTTACAGGAAGTTGCTGTGAGGTTGGGAGAGAGAGAGATGCCAGCGATATTTAGCACAGAATCTGTGCTGTGGTGAAACTATGTGTAATTGTTCACTACAGGTTCATAAGTAGGCACAAGTAAGACTGTCCTTACCTCGTTTATGGAGTAATCTGACACTGGTTCTGCAACAGTGAGCATCTTCTGCCAGATGTCTAGTTTCTCCACTATTTACCACTGCTGGTCCAGGAGCATCACTCTGAACTAACTTTGCAGGTAGGGAAGCCTGAAACTCTCACCTTAGTCCTGCCACATATTCCTCCAGGCCTGGATCCTATGCCTCATCTCCTTCATAGAATCTCTTCGTGCTGTAGGATCTATACTCTTTCCAATGAGAATCATTGATACTCAATGAGTTGCTCTAAATGCTGTCTGTTAGTTTGACCACCCTGGAAATTAATTCCTGTTCAGATTGGGTTTTAATTCTTTGGTTCCCTTTGGACCAGTAAAACCAATGTCTTCGCTGACTCCCTCCCTGCCAGACATACATTGTCAGTCTATAGGGCCAAGTTTCTTTTTTCCCAGCATCACCTAGGCTTGGCCTCCCCCCAACCTCCTCCCAAAGGTAGGGGCAGTCTGCGATTTAAGCCATCCTGTCTGGGACATGCACCTGCTGAGAACTACCAGATTGATATGTCTCACCCAGATGTCTTCAACTACAAGGACCATGCCATACTCATTCCCTGGGAAGCTTAGCACATATTCTTGATTTCCTCAACTTGTTTTTTCAAAATCCATGGTCCCTTTAGCATGTTTGTCTCTCATGTCATAATAATCTACCAGACATACCAGTACATTCTGTATGTGAAAGCAAACTCAACTGCTGTGACAGCAGGCAGCAAGACTGTTCCTAATAAGGAAAGGATCTAGTTGCTATAGAGTTGATTCCAACTCATGGCAAGCCTATGGATGTCAGAATAGAACTGATCCACAGGTTTTTTTTTTTTTTTTTAATTGTGATTTGGGTGAAAGTTTACAGAATAAATTCATTTTCTATACAACAGTTCATACACATTTTGTCTCATAACATTGACTGCAATTCTCCACAATGTAACATCTCTTTTCCTACTTCCTCCCCATAGTTACCTCTTCCCTATGTACTTTCTTCCCATGTACTCCCACCCCCCTTGGCTGTCTCCCTGTGCAAACACTGCACTTCTGTTCTCCAATGATTGATTGATTGCTCCACAGGGTGTATCTACCTGATGTAATTGTTCACCCTATATGCCCATCTATTGTTTGGCTGGAAGCCACACAGGAATGAATTCAATTCCAGACCTGAAGGGTGGCTAAGGGCCATAGTCTCAGGCATTTCACTAGGCTCTATCAGACCAGAAAACCTGTTTTTTTTTTTTTTTTTATGATTTTGAGTTTTGTTCCTCATTGTTCTCCCACTCTCTCCAGGATCTCTTGCACTGATCCTCCCTCCAAGTGGTTGACAGTGGTAGCCGGGCACCATCTAGTTCTTCTGGTCTCATAGTTGTATAGGCTGAGGATCACATGGTCTACAGTCCCTTCAACTAATTGTTACCATGCATCTTTGGTTTTCTACATTCTTCTTTGCTCTGGATGAGAAGAGACCCATTGTTGCATCTAGATGGCTGCTTGCAAGCTTTTAAGATCCCAGTCTCTACTCACCAAAGTAGGATGTAGAACAATGTTTTTGTGTAGTATGTTATGCCAGTTGAGTTTGATGTCTGCTGTGACCATGATCCCAGGCCCAGAGGTCCAACTACTTGTTCCCTTTGGGTAGATGGTTGTGGCCAAGAAGCCAACACAACCTCACCCCTTGTCAGCTCTACTGTACACCTGGACATTCTTACAGCATATATAAATACACATATAGAAATATTGTCTGCTAACCCTATACATAGTCATGGGCACACTCCCTGCCTAGAATACCTGATCGTTCATCCTGTCCACCTGTCTAACTACCTGTAAATGAATGCTTGCCACCACTTCCACAGGGTTTTCAATGGCAGGGTTTTCAGAAGTAGACTGCCATGTCTTTCTTTCAAGATGCCTTTGGGTGGAATTGAACCTCTAATCTTTTGGTTAGCAGCTGTGTGTTTAACTATTTGTACTACCCAGGGATGCAAAGACATGGAAGGGAATGTTTGGGCTGTATGTTTTCTAGGGTGACCAACTTATCCCAGTTTGCCTGGTACTTTCCTGTTTATATTGAAAGTCTGGCATCTTGGGAATCACATCAATCCTGAGAAAACTGGGACAGTTGGTGAGCCTAATCTTTTCACTTGTGTCTATGGAGTAAGAACTTTCCTCCTTTTTCTATCCTTCTGGCTGCCCTCTATGGAGCTAATAGGGATATCATTGATAAGGGATATCATTGTCAGATGGATCTTGGCTGATAGCAAAGAATACCAAAGATATGTTTATTGTGTTTTATATTTGCATATTGTGATATGCAAAGGCATTTGACTGTGTGGGTCTAACAAATTATGGATAACATTGAGAAGAATGGGAATTCCAGAACATTTATTTGTGCTTAGGAGGGACCTGTACATAAACCAAGAGTCTGTCATTGGAACAGAACAAGAGGATACTGCATGGTTTAAAATCAAGAAGAGTGTGCAACAGGGTTATATTTTTTTCACCAAATTTATTCATTTTGTATGCTGAGCAAATAATCTGAGAAGCTGGACTGTATGAAGAAGAATGTGTTATCGGGATTAGACAAAGATTCATTGACAACCTGCACTATGCCAATGACACAACCTTGTTTGCTGAAAGTGAAGAAGGCTAGAAGTACTTACTGATGAAGATCAAAGACTGAAGCCTTCAGTATGGATTACACCTCAACAAAAAGAAAACAAAAATCCTCACAACTGGACCAATAAGCAACATCATGATAAATGTAGAAAAGATTGAAGTTGTCTGGGATATCATTTTACTTGGATCTATATTCAACACCCATGGAAGCAGAAGTCAAGGAATCAGACATCATATTGAACTGGGAAAATCTGATACAAAAGATCACTTTAAAATGTTAAGAAGCAAAGATGTCACTTTGAAGATTAAGGTGCATGGTTTAAAATCAAGAAGGATATGCACCAGGGTTATATTTTTTCACCAAATTTATTCATTTTGTATGCTGAGCAAATAATCTGAGAAGCTGGACTGAATGAAGAAGAATGTGGTATCAGGATTAGACGAAGATTCATTAACAACCTGCACTATGCCGATGACGCAACCTTGTCTTGTCTGTTGTCATCATGACTTAGACTTACTGTGAATCCATTATGTACCAGGAACTCTGGTAGGCCCTGGCAATACAGAGAGAAATACAGATTCTGCCATCATGGTTTGACAGTCTAGCAGGGAAAACAGACAAGATATCATAATTTCATTTGCCTCATAGCCTATAAAAGCTGGACAATGAATAAGGAAGACTGGAGGAGAGTTGAAGCCTTGAATTGTGGTGTTGGTGATGAATACTGAAAATACCACGGACTTCCAGAAGAACAAACAAATCTGTCCTTGAATAAGTACAGCTGGGCTGCTCCTTGGAAACAAGAATGGCCAGACTTGTTTCCTCCTTCGGTCATGTTGTCACAAGGGACCATTCCCTGGAAAAGGGTATCATGGTTGGTAAAGCAGAGGGTCAGCAAAAAAGGGGAAGACCTATGGTGAGATGGATTTACACAGTGGCTGCAAGGCCTCAAGTATGGCAAGCATTGTGAGGATGGCGCAGGGTCAGGCAGTGTTTTGTTCTGTTGTACACAGGGTTGCTATGAGTTGGAGCTGACTCTATGACACCTAATAACAACAACAAGGAGCTATTGATCTGATTGGTCCAACCTTGAGACACTGAATGGATCCCATCTTACTAGTGATGGGGTCACTATATGGACAGTGAGGCCTCTTAACACTTTCTGATTCAATATGGTAAGAAAACATACCAAGGCAGGGCCCAGCCCTTTGGGACCAGCTTGCTCACCCCTGAATTGCCAACAGAATGATCTACAGAGGATGTAGATGCATACCCAAGAATGCAGGGTCTAAACATGATGGTAGCAAAAACTTCAT